AGGAAACCCTCCCGCCACGACGGAAAGGCGCGGAAGGGGGGACAGGGAGGGAGGGAGGTGGGGTTTCGTCCTTTGCGCCGTCGCCTTCGTCTTCGTGCGTTCCGCGCGGGGAGGGGGGAGGAAGGAGAGGGGGGCAGCAGCTGCCGCGGCTGCCCTCCACTGGGGCGTTCGTCCACACGGAGCGACGGCGCGCGGCGGAGATGGCGGCGACGTACATGAGCCTCGCGATTGGGTACCGCGAGCACCAAACCCTCTCCCGCCGCGTGCTGCGAGATGGGGAAGGGGCGAGGATCGTGGAAAGAGAGGGCGAGGGGCCTTCTCTCGCCATGTCGCGCGAGGCGGAGATGGCGGTGGATCGCACGTTTTTCTTCCCCGTAGAGGATCAAGAAGGTGGGGAAGGGGAAGCGGAAGCGGAAGGGGAAGGCAAAGGGGAGAGGGTGTTGCCGTTTTTGAAACCCCGCCCACAGCCTGGGGAAGGGGATCCGAGTGGGATTTCCACCCGGGCGGCGAAGGAGACCGCGGCCGGGGTGGATTTTATTCGCAGCATCGGTGGCGCGGAGGGGGCGGCGTGGTATCGATCGGAGGTGCGAAATCTCACCCGTCGGGCGCGGATTTTACCGCCGGAGTTGTGGTCTACCGGGGAGTTTCGCGATATTTTCTATGGCTACCATGTCACCCCGGAAGGGGAGATGCAAAAGGAGTGCGTGCGTCGCCAGGAGGCTGGCCGCGCGATGCTCCATTCCTCCGTGATGTTTGATCATTTTACCTTTCCTCGAACACCGGAGGACGTGCGGTTTGGAAAGCGGGTGTATGTATGGTTATAAAAGAGCCGAGAGAGTTATTTTGCTATTCGCTATTATAGGGGTTGTAGCGAGAGGGGAGGAGGTGGTGGAGGCCTGCATGACCGTTTTATTTTCTAACCGTACTTTTATTTATTGATGCATATATCAGCTTTACTGTTTCCCCCCTCTCCCTCACGCTTACGACAAGATCCCACGGAGCGCGGATGCTGGTGGAAAAAATGGCGTGCATGTATATTTATCGATATGCAAAATAATGGATCGAAAACCGAGGTTTCAATTTTTATCTCCTGGCACTTATTGAGAATGTACGTATATCCTACGGGATTCTTTTTTTCATATATAAATTTAGACATATATCTTTATATATAGGTGTGTAAATAGGTCAAGCAAGATGTTTGTTATTTTATTTCCAATTCTTTTATCCAAAAAGATGGAGCTGTCTTTTTCTCCATTTTTACGGCTTTTGAGGTTAGATCTTCACCTCAAGCAGAAAAATTTTCTGCCCCTTACACTTATTCAAACAAAATGGCGATGGACATTATAGATGGTAGGGGAATACTGTATGAAATAGTTTGGCTCTTGTTTCATGCTTCTTCTTTCTTTTTTTTTTTAGAGGTAGACTATACAGCGATAAGGGCATCCATCACACGCTCACGTATATCTTGTCAGGGGAGTGGTGCGCTTGCTCTGAGGATATACCTTTATATACAGATACTTTTTAACACGAACTCTTTCCTTGGAGTTTTCTTTGACGGCATCTGCTCGCACCCCCGTCTTTAGATAGAAATGCGAAGCGGTGGTGAGGCCTCTTCGAACCCGAACCCGTTCGACCCCGTCGACGTCGCCCGCGCCTCCCCCTACTTCCGCCGAAATCACATCGGCAAGGTAACCTGTACCCTATGCAACATCTACTGCAACGACGAGCACGCCTTTATCAAACACCTCGCGGGGAAAACGCACTCCCTCGAGATCGGACGCCTCGAGCAGCAAGAGCTCCGCAAGCAACGGCTTTCCGAGGAGGATCGCCTGAACGAGGTGGCCGCGCAGCGCGCGAGGGCGAATCAGCTGCTCCTCCAGCAGGCTGCGAAGCTCGGCAAAAGCAGCCGCGCGCCCCTCCCCGCGGCTTCCATCACGGCGACTCCGAATATCCACGGCGGAGGGGGGGGCGGCCTCAACGGCAACGCCGGCGGGAGCGGGCATCTCCCGGAAGGAGGGGGAGGGGGAGGGCGAGGGGGGCTGCTCGCGGTGCAAGGGCAGTACGGGGTTCCTGTCTACTCCTTTCGCACGGAGCACGACGCCAGGGGGCGGCAGACGCGGGTGTGGCTCACCTTTCACTTCGCGAACGCGGAGGAGGGAACGCGGCCGCTGCATCGGTGGCTTTCCGCGCGTGAACAGGCGGTGGAGAAGGCGCCACCCGGCGAGGACGCGGATTATTTTGTGTATTTGCTCGTCGCCTGCGAAGGATACACGACGGCGGCGATCAAATTCCCGGCGAAGGCGACGCGAACGCAGGAAGGGGACCCTCGCGGGGCGGAGGCGTATCAATGCAGCTGGGATCCACTCCAAAAGACGTATTCGCTGTTTTTTGTGATGAGTCGTTAGATACCAGTGTGATTTCAACCACCTTTCCGCATCTTCTTGCCTTTTCCTTTCTTCCTTCCATTCGTTGAGTGTTTCCTTACCTGGGAGCATGAGTATTTTACTCGGGAGGAAGGGGGAGGGGGGGGGGATATAGTTTAATTCACGCCAGTTTATTCTATTTTTACCGACGTGAAAAGAGTGAGAAGGGGGAAAGGGGGCGATTCACAGGTGGAATTCTCTTGGGAACAAACTGCTTGCGAGCGGATGCTCGGCTCAGCGCATTGCGAGCCTAAATTTATCAGTTTTTTTTTGCTTTTTTTGGATTACTATTATGGAATGGGAATATTAGCAAAGACGGAGAATATAATTAAGGGGTGCTTCTATCCATTTATATTTTGCAACAAAAAAGGCGAGAATTACTAAGAGTGTATATATATATATATATATATATATATACTATTAGTTT